ACTTAAGTCAGTTTTATCCCTGACACTGACTGCTGTGTGTCGGGGCTGCTTCCCCAATTCTTTTGGTGTTGTCTGGGAATTTATTTTCTTTACTTATGTGGCTGACTTGTATTAAACTCAACAGATAAGTTATTCTTGTTATTAGTGATAGGTATAATATTTAGGATGTTTAATAGGAATTTAAATTAAGTTACCATTATGTTTTGCCTTGTAATGTTCGTGCGTGAGTTTTCCGTATATATATATTGGTTTGTTTTAAGTGTATTTTCCACTCTGGGTTTTCTCCTTCACAGTTAAATAACAATTGACTTATTATTAAAGCCTGGAGCACTTTGTAGTGACAGGTGCATTAAACTAATTTTATTACAGGTCAGTATTCTCCCAATCTGACTTTAGATCTGTAATGTATCCAACAAACCTAACCTAAGGTACCCAGCGTGTTCGAGATAATGATGATATTTGGTAACTTGTCCCACTTAGGCAAAAACTAGATTAAAATTTATCACAATGAATATTTTCCGATTCATTCTATTTCTGGGAATTCGAAACACAGCGACATTCTTCCCTCCCTCGACTCAATACATCAACGTCGAAACTCAGTGACTCGGTGACGGTGACTGAGCTACAAAAAAAAATCCTCTAATTCATCTTAGTTTGGGCTTCAGTTTAATGGCTCACTTGTCACATATTCTTGCCAAAGGAGAATTCAGTCTTGTATCCCTGGCGTAAAAACAAAAAACAACTACAATAGTACATGTAAGTATCGTTGACTACTGTCCCTCAAGAATCCTGACAGGTATATATATCCTTGTTGCATAGAAAATAACACTACGACGCGAACAGTGATATATTTACCACAAACTCCACGATATAAATCCATGCCATGCACACAACACCGTAAACATGGCCACAAAGGGACATATTTATACGTCATACAAACCGCCATTTATTCGGGTAAAAACATCAGGGGGTTTGTGTACACTGTTCCCATGGTAACAACAACAGCAACAACTTTCTTTCCCCTCGCCTACCTCCCCACCTAACCAATTAAGTTCCTCGGTGAACAGGAGGATTCCTCTAATTGGTTAGTTCATTGGACAGCAGAGGAGAGAGAAAGAGAGAGATATTCAGTAAAATTTTCATACAAGTTTTAAAATTGTTTGTATTACCGGAACAAAGACTTTCTGACATCGCTCGAGCCAAGAGGGGACCTAGATCAATCATAAGGGGTCGCGTAGAGGTCATGGGGTCACTGAAGTCACCTGGATCTTGCAGCGGTCACATGTGATTTTTTTTCTAGTCCAGGCGTCAAAGACTAAGGAAATGACCGACAATATATATTTGCTCGAAATAAAGCTAACAAAGTACTTGGGTTCATACAAAGGAGTGTTAGTTACAAGGCTAGCGAGGTCATCCTAAAACTATATCTTGCGCTTGTGAGACCTCACTTCGATTACGTAGTTCAGTTTTGGTCATCGTACTACAGAATGGATATAAATTCCCTTGAAAGAATCAGAGGAGAATGACAAGACTAATCCCGGGCGTTAGGAACCTTGAGTACAGAGACAGGTTAAAACATCTTAATTTGCACTCCCTCGAGAGACATAGAGTGAGGGGCGATATGATAGAGGTGTATAAATGGAAGTCAGGGTTAAACAAAGTGATATAACAAAGGCACTTAAATTATCCAACCAGGAACGAACTCGTAACGATGGTATTAAATTAGACAAATTTAGATTTAGGCGAGAGATATGTAAACACTGGTTTTGGAAATAGAGTAGTGGATGAGTGGAACAAGTTACCAAACATCATCATTAACTCGAATACGCTGGATAGCTTCAAACATAGGTTGGATGGATATATGAGCGATAGGGGTTGGGTGTAAACGGGACTGCCCAGTATGGGCCAATATGCCCGCTGCAGTTTCCTCCATCTTATGTTTTTAAGGGATTAACACACTTACTCTCCTTGTGTCAGGTCAGTCCAGGTCAGGCTTACCCTGATGAAACGTTTCGCAACAGAAGTCCCACATTCCTACCTTAGAACTGTTCTCAGCTCAATTCACTCTCTACTTCCCACGGATGAGGACAAACGGCACCCTCACACACACACACACACACACACACATACAACAACCCACATACACACATACAACACCCCACATACACACACACACAAAACCCTCACGTACACACATACAATCCCCCGCACATGTAACCTTCGTACTTCCCTCCCACCACTCCCACCCATACCCCCCAGGATACAACACACACACACACATGTACAGTTTACATGACAACAACAACAATCGATAGAACAACACACACATCTAAACTTAGTCTACGTAAGAAATAAGAGTAACTTCATTACGAAATAATATGATTGACTTCAAATTCAGATCCACACGAGCACATGATCTAACTTCCGTGACTCCTAACAATCCTCTGGGGATGGGAGGGGGTGGGGGGGGGGGACAGAACTATCAAGGTAGGTGGCGCCTCGACCTGCTGTAGCCACGACCGAGGCGAACAGAGAATAAACATTCTTACGTGACGACAGGTATAATAAAGGTGGTATATCCAAGGTCTCTGTATCTTTAGACCTTGAGTGTATCTAAGTCTCTAGAATGTGACAAAGGTGTAGCTGACACTTAGTACACCCGTGAGCTGCAACGTGTGTGTATTTGGGAGAGGGGTCTTCATGTACCACAATAAACAGACTGACAACATTCTTAAAAAAGTTTGATATTTCTCTGAATATTTTATGAATCACAAGGATGTCAAGAACATATTCGTGTGTACATTTGTCTACATATATTCTGTAAACGAATAATTGTGGTAGTTTCTTAGTATAACTTACTCATAAGGAAGATGTAAATAATACCAGCGAGGATTTAAGTTTTCTTCATTCATTATTGCAAACTTTTCCTCACTCATCCGTCATAAACCACCTGATTGACGCTACCTGACCGACACTCTGACCGACACTACCTTACCAAATTATTAATTATAAATCACAGAACACAGTCACCAAATAAACAGTCGCTGAAACCCAGGAATATTAAGTGCTGCTCTGTCTGTAAAAACGCTCGTCTCTAGAGTCTGCCACACGCAAACTCTGAAGACACAATAAGAGAATTTACTTCTTTAAATACAATAACCTAAGTTAACTCTTTGAACGGAATGATTGGCCTTACGAATCGAATATTTCAACCGCTTAAATTAGAAAAGTTAACCCCTTGGGTACGATGATTACCCCTTGAGTACAACGACTAAACCCCTTGCGTACAATGATTGAACCCCTTGAGTACAATGACTAAACCCCTTGCGTACAATGATTGAACCCCTTGAGTACAATGACTAAAACCCCTTGAATACAATAAATTAGACCAGCCAGTAAGATATTCGGGACCCGGACAAAAGCCCCCTGTTTTTATGTTAAAGAGAGGGTCATTAGAAATATTAAAAACATGTAGATTTAAATATGAAATTATTATAATTTAAATAATTAGAATATTATAACTCTTTCAATTTTGATATAGAACATTATTAAATAAATAGAAAAGAAAAAAAGACGACACATTTTACCTTTATGTTCATTCTGTATTTACTGAGGTGACCCGAGGGCCCAGTGAGGTCACTGAATGTCAGGGGAGTAATTACCCCAGTAGACAAAACATACGTCATTGCTGATTTAATAAACATTCCTTGTATACTTCTTTATAACTATAACAGAATTCCCGAAGGTTAGGTTAGGTTAGGTTAGAGAAGTGTTCATAAACTGTAAAAAAATAAAATTATTATTTTAAAATTCATATTATTTCTCCTGGGGGACTTTTGTCCTCGGGGCTTTTGTCCTAGGGGGCTTTTGACCTACACTCAAGTTGTTCTAACCCCTTAACCCAATCATTATACCAAATTAGTCCAGTAAAATATTTTAAACACTTAGGTATGTTGAATTGTATTAATTTTTTATGTTTTTATTTTTTTAGTGAATCAGTTTGGTACATCTTCACGTCTTCAGTTACCAGGAATATTCATCGCATAAACTTTTGAAAATCTGTAGCCCAGTTTCATAAAAAAATTTAAATAAATAAATAAATAAATAAATAAAAATGTACCGCATTTTACCATACTGAGAGCACCGATCGCTTCATCCCAGTGTTTTATCGGTGTTGTAAATGGTTTATCGGAAGCACTTTTCTGTGTATCGGAAGATGAAAAATATCCCGATATATCAGCATAAGGAGAAAGTCAAGTCTCAAATTTATCGTAATTGTCTGAAGTAAATAAGGTTCAGGGAAGAATCTGGTGAGAAATGTTACTCAGCTGAAGACGAAAATGAGGCAATAGAAATGAGAAATAACCTATCACTGTGAAAAGGAATTTGTTGATGAGAAATTTCACACACACACACACACACACACACAAAGTACATGGGAACAGAAACATCGTCTTAAATTTCTTCTAACTTCATTCGCATCAACAATACCTGACCCGGAAATACACCTAGAGTTTTACCTATTAATTCCATGTTTTATTGAGAATTGTATCCCTAGTTGTATGTTAATTTGTTATTGGCGGGATTTTTTGGTCGTCCTGTAGGAACAAACCCCAGAATCCCAAGTCGACCCTTTTGGACCTACGTGTTTGTATTTGGTTCGGGTTTTTCTCGTGTAAATACAATGAAGAACAAAACACTTGATTATGGGAAACATGTAACATTGTTTTAGCTGAAAGAAGGAATAGGAAAATAAAAAAAAGAGAGAGAGAGAGACGAGATAAAGAACATGAGAGGAGAAACGGATGAAATGAGAGGAGAGTAACATAAAAGAGGGAAGTAAAAGGAAAATAGAGAAAAAGAGAGAGAAACACGCAGAAAAAAATAACACCGAAAAAATATAATAAATAAGTTGTTGAATGAATGACGTATGACACACAGATAAGAGATATTTCCCTACTGATGGTTGAGTGAGAAATATACACCAACAGTATACAGACCGAGCAGTAGAACGTGTATGAAGGCGTATAGAAGAATACTAATGGCGCTGACGACTGGCCGTGGTAGGCGGGGGATCACGGTGGCAGCTTGTCTCTTCAGCATGTTGAGCGCTTCTGTCTTCCCTTCTTCACAGTGTCAGGTTGCCGCTCTCCTGGTCTCACTGCATGGCTGACACTGTCTTAGCTATCTGCGCGCGCGTTTCAACCACCTTTTCCCCCTACCTCGCCTCCAGTCACCTCATTGCTCCATTCCATCTTCCCTTCCCATTCATCCCTTCCCTTCTGTCTCCCCCTTGCTTCTCATCATTCCCTTCCCATCTCCCCATCACTCCATTCCCTTCTGTCCCCCCTTATCCCTCTTCCCCTTCCTCCATACCCTACCTCCCCCTCCCGTCTCCCTTTCCTCCATGCCTTACCAGTACCATCTCCCTCCCCTTCACCACCTTTACCACTCTTCCATTCCTAAACTCACACTTGACGAGGCACGCAAGTGAATATAGATGTCGAGTACTTGTAGCGCCTCTTCCCCTCTCCCTTCTCCCCTCCTCTCCCCCTCTCACTTTTCCCCCTCCCTCTCCCTTCTCCCCCTTCCCCCCTCTCCCCAACACTAACGGGATATTTTTTCGTAATGTTTCGTATAATATTTTCTGATACCGAGTGTTCTGGTAAGTTGAGAAAGTGTGTGTGTGTGTGTGTGTGTGTGTGAGCGTCATACCTCGGGTCGTCAGGGGTGCCAGTAACGATGTAGGTATGTGTATGAAGGTAAGAAAGATTAGATAGAGAAAGGAAGGCAAGAAAGGAGAAGAGTGAGAATGAAATTAAAATAAATGGAGGAAAAAGAGAGGACGAGATAATTATAGATGGAGAGAAAGAAAAAACAAAAGAATAGGAAAGGAATACAAGTAAGAAGACAAAGGGAAGAAATGAAAGTCAAAATAAACCAAAGAAAGAGAAATGGAAATACATAAGAAAGAAGGAGAGAGATAGAGTGAGAATAATGGAGTCAATTACTCAGGTTTCACCTTTTGAATAATTGAGGATAATTAGAAGGAGGAACGTTCTCTATCAAGGAGAGAAGGGGGGAGGGACATTCTCTATCAAGAAGGGAGGGACGTTCTCTATCAAGGAGGGAAGGAGAGAGGAACGTTCTCTATCAAGGAGGGAAGGACGATCTATATCAGGGGGGAAGGAGAGAGGGACGTTCTCTGTCAAGGAGGGGGGACGTTCTCTATCAAGGAGAGAAGGTGGGAGGGACGTTCTCTGTCAAGGACGGGAGGAGAGAGGGACGTTCTCTGTCAAGGAGGGGGGGGTGCGTTCTCTATCAAGGAGGGAGGGACGTGCCGTGTCAAGGAAGGAGGGACATGCCGTGTTAAGAATATAGTGAGGAGCGATTGAGACACAGGGGTAGGTCCTCTGTCGCAGCGATAGCGAGCCCCTGAATCGATACCCTTGACGAGCAGACATTCCTTGATCTCAATAAAATATATATTAGCACTGCCTTCGTACCTCACCCAAACTACCGCAATTATACCTTTTGACCTCACGAATGTCGCTTTCATACAGTAGTTGAGCTTAAACAAGTAAAAGTGTGAGAGGATATTATATTTTCTCCCTGTAGAGAACAAAGACAGATACAGACACTTAACAGAAAGACAGACTGACAGGGAGAAGCAAAACTCCATTTAGACAGACAAAAATAGATAAAAAACAAAATGACACACGAACAAATCTACTAATACAGGCAAATATACACAAAAACAGACGACAAACACAAAAACAGACGACAAACACAAAAACATAAAGACATATAATGGAAAGTAACAGACAGTCAGACACTAAAATAGACAGACATACTGGAGTACAGACAAAATCCTGTCCAATTATCACCATTGTCAGGTTCCCACCATAAAAAAAAAGAGCTTTTCACCTTAACCTTTGAATATTTTGGGGGGTCGAAAAATGTAGTTTCCTCGCCATCTCAGTACCGGTCGTCCTCAACACACTGATTAAGAAGCTGTGGCACAAAGCATATTAAGGATAATAATACACCTTATAATACACCTTTGTTGAGTAATGTCTTAATTGTTTATCTTTTATTTTCAGGAGATGAAAGTGTAACCTAAAGATGCTATCCGGTCGTGCGTCTTAGTGTCCCTGCGTCCCAGTGTTCGTGTGTCCGTGTGTCCCATTGTCCGTGTCCCAGTGTCCGCATGTTCCAGTGTCCGTGTGTCCCAGTGTCCGTGTGTCCCAGTGTCCGTGTGTCCCATTGTCCGTGTCCCAGTGTCCGCGTGTCCCAGTGTCCGTGTGTCTCAGAGCCCGTGTGTCCCACTGTCTGCATGTCCCACTGTCTGCATGTCCCACTGTCTGCATGTCCCACTGTCTGCATGTCCCACTGTCTGCATGTCTCACTGTCTGCATGTCTCAGTGTTTGTATACCTCTCAGTCCGAGAGGCAGTGATGAGTGTGGGTAGGCTGACCTCCATGAATCATTTGATGATTAGATACATTAGCTTATTTTACCTGAAGATTAACCACCCTAACACTGACCTAACCTAATCCCAAGCTACCCCCCCCCCCTCTCCAGGTAAAGCGTCAAGGTGGTTAATATTCTGATGAAGCAAACAGTCAGAGAAAATTAATAATCATTGGCTCTTGCTAGTGACTATAACACTATGATCGTATCTAAGGGAATGACTTATTACTAACACGATAAATAGAGAAACGTCATTGTGAACATTTGGCAATAAAATTAAATATAGTGCTTGCTTAATTCATGACAAAAAAGATTCTGCTCCTGAAAACTTTTTTAAATGTATTTAGTATTGATTGACCTCTGCGATGACGACTGACTCCTTTGTGTGGAAAAAAAATATAAATAAAAAACAAGCGAACATCACGCGAGGGGGAGTGTTTTGTCGACAGGTCACGAGCAATAGATCTCGGTGAACACGAATAAAAATATCTGGGTTTTTTCCTGTTGATTATTTTTCTATGTAGAATTCCACCACCCTCTTGCGAGCCAACGACACACAGACAGACACACAGACAGACAGACAGACAGACAGCACTAAGAACATGTGTAGAAAACAAATACATACATAGCGACAGAGAAAAAACAGACAAACAAATTACGCACACACACACACACACGCACACACACACCGAGAAAAACCAGATGACTGACATTTACGCAGACAGAAACAGACACAGAACGAGAACTAAAGGAATCCAAATCTAACACAACCTGATAAGTGTATGTTAGTCATGACAAGGGAGGGAGGAAGAAGAGGGTTGGAGGGAAGGGGGGAGAAGAGGGTCGGAGGGAAGGGGAGAGAAGAGGGTCGGAGGGAAGGAGGGAGAAGAGGGTCGGAGGGAAGGAGGAGAAAGAGGGTCGGAGGAAGGGGGGGAGAAAGAGGTTCGGAGGGAAGGAGGGAGAAGAGGTCGGAGGGAAGGAAGGAAGGAGGAGAAGAGGGTCGGAGGGGAAGGAGGAGAAAGGGTCGGAGTTCAGGTTCGGAGGGAAGGAGGAGAAAGAGGGTCGGAGAGGAAGGGAGAGGGTTCGGAGGAAGGAGGAGAAAGAGGGTCAGGAGGGAAGGAAGGAGGGTCGGAGAGGAAAGAGGGAGGGAGAAGAGGGTCGGAGGGAGGGAGGAAGAAGAGGGTTGGAGGGAAGGGGGAGAGAAGAGGTTTGAAGGGAAGAAGGAAGAAGAGGGTTGGAAGGAAGGAGGGAGAAGGGGGTCAGAGGAAAGGAAGGAGGGAGAAGGGGGTCAGAGGGAAGGAAGGGGGGAGGAGAGGAAAAGGAGGCAAGGAGGGGAACTGATGTATTTTTTTTACAGGTCCCCAATTACACTTAGTCAGGGTGTTCACGTGTCCTGCTGAATATTTGATAAGGCTCACTCCCTCATACTCACGCTTATAAAAGGAATAAAGCTGCGTGTCTCTCCCTCTCTTTTTTAAGGAAAGGTAAGGGAAGGGACGGAATGGAAGGAAGGGAAAATCATGGGGAGGGAAGGAATAGAAGGAAAGGGAAGGAATGGAAGGAAAATAAAATAAAGGGAAGGAATGAAAGGAAAGGAAAATAATGGGAAGGGAAGGGAAAACAGTGGAAAAGGAAGGAAAGGGAAGTGAAAGAATGCAAAATAAAGGAAGTAGAAGGGAAGGAAAGAGAACGGAAAGTTTCTTGCTGGTGACCGTGCGCGCAGCAGGTAGAATTGATTGTGTATGCTGATGAACGAGATGCATTAATCTCTCTCTCTCTCTCTCTCTCTCTCTCTCTCTCTCTCTCTCTAATGCAATAACACAGTTTGACGACCATCACCACCCACTTATTTATCCACTTCGCCACTGGTCGCTGGGATTCGTAAACAAAAATATTATCATCATTTTTTTGGACATTCTGCTGAGGGTGTACCGCACAGGTCGATCAGAATCTAAAGTAAAGTAAAGTAAAGTAAATAAAGAGACAAGTGACGAAGAGGATAAAATAATATATAAATAAAGTCTGAATGGATGTAAGTCCTCCAGTGTGAATTAACTTATTAGGGTCCTCTTGTGTTACCTTGGATTAAATTATATGGCATTTATCAGTTCGCAGATCTGCACTGCTTATGAACACAACTTAATAACATTATCCCCCTAGGTACACCCCTATTTAGCAGTGACATACATACATACATACATACATACATACATACATACATACATAAACAAATAGATAGGCAGACAGGCACATCTGCTCTCAGTCGTAGACATCAGAAGGTGGTACAAGTGTCAGTTCTCAAGGTCACCAACCCTCGGTTGGTTTGAATGATCTTGTAAAGATATTCACTGACATAAACTAACCTGCTTTTAATTCATTGTTAAAAAGTCTACTAAACAATGGTCATCACCTCAAAACTCAGGAATAACTGTATAAAACTGTATATATTTTGTGATTTTTAAAGTCCAACGGTACAGTCAATCTTAGGTCTGACAGCTAACTTTTTTTCTGTTTTAATTATTCTGGTCTGTTCTTTGTAACTTTATTATGACCCTTCTCACATCTGACCCGGGCCATGGATTGATCCCGATATATAACGTGAGAGGCACGCGTGTCAGTTATACCACTTAGGGTACAGGAGCAGGAGAGGTGTTTAGTCTTAAGCAATAACGACCATACACGAAAGTAATAGTCTATCACTAAGCGCTTTCCTTGGTTTTCGAAATAAGGATAATAACACAAGACGTATATTTTACCGATAACTGCGATATTTTGATATGGTTGCATTATTTTCATATGAATAACCAAAAAGCATTAGTGATTCCGTATTTGTCCCTTATTAGATATACCACAGAAGAGGGAAATGCCGTGGGGATGGTAGTGTTTCTCCTTAAGAAAAAAAAATGTGAGAAAGTATATTTGATGTAATACTTTTATCCTCTTCACCACTGATCGGCTCGTTAGCCGCTTGGGCGATCGGTCAGGTCTCTGTTACGCACTGTTGGCAACCATAAAGACAGTTGAAGCGTTGAACATCACTCACAATGGATCTTGAATGTTCCAACTGTAATCAGACATACCTAAGTTGCCTCATCATATGCAACCACAGTTGCAATTTCAAATTGTAATTATACTAAGGAATAACGAAGTCTCGGGTGCACTCTAAGATAGAGAGAAAACGGAGTACTCAGGCGCCCTGAAGCGATGAGAAAACGTACTGTTTAGACGGGGAACTCAAATAAAGAAAGCATAGCTACATGTTTTGTGGGCTATTGAGCGTAATATGAATCGTCTGATTTTACGTTAACTGACGTGTACGACCGTGGTTATTACACTGTCGATAGCCTTGGCAAATTCTAGATATATATTGTCGATATTACCACCCCGTTCCAGAATTTGGGTCCAAACATCCTGCACCTTGAGTAATTGTGTTAAGCATGAGCGCCCCTTCATAAAACCATGTTTGCAATCCTTTACAAGGTTTTTTCGTAGATTTTCTGCCATGTTATTTCTTATAATGCTCTCAAATACTTTACTTTTTACTTTACTTTTATCCTCTTCACCACCGATCGGCTCGTTAGCCGCTTGGGCGATCGGTCACGTCTCTGTTACGCACTCTTTGCAAGTACTGGGCATGCTGGTCAGGCTCACCGTTCTATAGTTATTCGTGGAGTGACGATTTCCCTTCTTGGAGATAGAACTCACATAAGCCATTTTCCAATCACTGTGGACCTTTTGCCCATCTAGGCAGTTACAGAACAGGATCTTCAGGGGCTCGGCAAGCTCGCTGCACAACTCTCTTAGCACTCTGGGATGCACCAAGTCAGGGCCGGGACTCTTATGAACATTTAGCTTTGACAGTTTATTTCTTATAACCTTTTCTGTGAACACAATGTGGGTCAGTGCTGTGTCGACCCGTCTGTCCTCAAACGCAGGAAGGTTAATCGCATCCTCTCTTGTGAGCACTGAGAAAAAAAAAAGTTGTTCAATGCCTCAGCTTTATCCTGGTCAGAATCTGCGTAACTACCATCTTCACGTCTCAGGTCCGATACTCCTACTCGCGTTTTTAATCTCGATTTTGCATAGCGGTAAAACACCTTTGAGTGTGACTTGACCTTGCTTGCAACCAGCCTCTGGAACTCTTTTTCAGCCCTTCTACACTCTGACTTTGCTTGGTTCTTGGCCCTTGCATACATCCTCCTGTCTTGCTCATCGTTTGACCTAACCCACGCTCTGAATTTCTGGGGGTTTTCTTAACTTTGTCGACCGCCGCATGGATCATGTGTAGGGGTTTCCTTGTATTCCTAGAGGCAGTGGGTTTGGTCTTGGGTATATATTTCTCGATCAAATAGTTCACTTTACTAGCTATGATATTCAGCGCAGTGTCTGCGTTCTTATGCCTCAGTAAGTCAGGCCAGTGGATATCCCTCAACCCGTTGTTATTTCCCTTGTAATATTTGCACCTTGGCCTGGTTTTGTCGTGAACTAAGTAACAGTTAAACCTGAACGACAACACTACTCGGTGGCTGGTGCCTCCTCGTTTGTCATGATGAGGTCCAGACCGTCCGGTGGCTTGGGTGTTTGCTCCCCTCTGTAAGGCGTCGGATCTTTAACGTGTTGAAACAGAAAATTATCCCAGTTTCTACAAAAAGGGTAGCGGGGTTATTTAAGTCATTTGGAATGAACATATTTCTCCAGTAAATGTCGCCATAGTTAAAGTCCCCCATGATAAAGGAGGTGGCTAGGGTTGAGCATCGCTGCGTTGTCTATTAAGGCTCTTAAGTTCCTTTGGTTTAGTACGCAGTTTGGGGATCTGTAGATACACCCGACATTAAGTAAGTCTCCTCCCTTTAATTTAATTTTACACCACTTGGATTCTTCAAAAACATCCTCTCCCTGTACCCTCACCTGGCTGGCTCTAAGGTCTTGCCTAACATAGATAACCACACCCCTTTTGCAAGTTTCTTGAGAAAGGTTCGTAAATAAGTCATATCCGTCAGTACTGAACTTACATAAATCTGTATATAGTATAACATCGTGTGTGTGTGTGTGTGCGAATTTGTTTTACGATTTTACTGATTAAATAACAATTTGAATTTTATCATATCATCATTATTTATTCAGTAAAATCGTCATACATTAAATTTTGCGTATATATAGACAACACAGGTATACGGTACTGTGTATTATAGACTGTGCAGGTATACTATGCAAGTTATAAAGTAAGCTGTATACAGTAAGGCAATTCGACCATGGATGGCCAACAAAGCTATCAAATATACCTCTCTCTCTCTCCCTCTCTCTCTAAAAGTAAATTGAAGGTGTGTTTGTATGAGTCACAATTAGTCTAGGGGTGAAGGAGAGGGGTGTTGGAGCCAGTAAAGTGTTAACTATTGAAGCTCTTTTGTTCAATATAGTGAGACGGGTGCGGTGGTCAGGGTACTTATGGCCACGGTGAGGAAACGTCAGAGAAATTGGCCGTGATTTCCACTTTTTTGGTTTTTGAAGTCCAGTTTGCGTTGCTGTATGCCCAGTCTAGGTTACCCCTGTGAATATATCAGTTTCTTATAAAGTCATAAATACCCTGTTATGATTTATTACTCTGTATTTTGCCTCTGAATGATAATAAGTGAAGAGTAAAACCTTGTGCGTCGTCTGCAGTTTTGGATCTTCCAGTGTTGGTGAATTTTTGTAGTTTATTATCAGGTGAGAAGCAGGAAAGAGAATGAAGAAGTTTATTATAGTTTTAAATTAATCTAGACGAAGTTTAACTCTGATGGGTACTGGACTACTGGTGGTATTTGACTTACAGTGTAGTATCAATGCTAGTTGCCCACTATTGTAATAGCGTCACTAAAGCTGTCATTGGCTATGGTGCGTTTATATGGCACTTGCCCTTTAATTACTTCTGCTAATAACTATTTTGATAGGTTGATTTAGACCTATTGAGACCCAACCTTAACCTTACATGTTGCTGTTAACTCAGGTGAGTTTGAGGAAATAGTGATTTAAGGGTCCGACTAATTACCCAAATGTAGCAAAATATAGCCGCAATGAAGTCAAATAATGGTCCTAGATGAATAAATTGGACTGCCAATCACTTCTCGACTGGTATTTGGTGTCACGAAGTCACAAAAAATGGGTAAACTTAATTTAATCTGAGTTAATAGATCTAGTGCATGTACCTAACCTAACTGAAATTAAATGAAGTTTACCAATTTTTTGTGGCTTTATGATACCAAATGCCAGTCGAGAAGTGATTGGCAGTCCAATTTATTCATGTAGGACCATTATTTGACTTCATTGCGGCTATATTTGGCTACATTTAGGTAATTAGTCGGACCGGTGATTTAACAATAGTGACAAATGTTGTGATGAATTACCAAGTGTTTTTAACCCATTACAGTGTCTCGATTTAAAATTATGTTTAGTAACATTGGTAAAGGTTCATTTGAAGGCAACCACAGAAACTACTAGGTAAGGTTTTCAAAGGTTTGCTTGGTGTTCGTTTTAGTATTTTACCCCACATTTTCCTTCTACTTCAAAGCCCTGCCCACTTTGAACAACCAATATTGTTGGTAATTATGGGCTTTATATCTATGATGGCTCATTTGCGACTGAAATGAAGGTCAGATTTGCTTGAAACAACACAAAATACACAAGGAAAAACTATTTTTGGTCATTTTTCGTTAACCACCCATCACCTTTTTATGTTAAGGACGTGGCCTGTTAAGTTAGGTTAGTATGTAGACCTAGTTTAGTTTTAATCTTTTTTCCCATGAAAGTAATTTTTTTCGCTAGTTTTCTTGGTGTTTTAGATGATTCTGACATTTATTGTTGGTGAAAATCACTCGTTTTCAGCCCCCCACCCCAACTCAAAACCCCGCTTTTCCAACGTGGCCCCCTACATTGTTGGGGTGGAAGATGGGTGTGAATAACTAACAAAAAAAATTAATTTGCACCAAAGATAAATGTCAAAATCATCGGCTATTTTTCATTATCCACCCATCACCCTTTTTCACATGAAAATTTTATTTTTTTATTGTTTTCTTGCTGTTTTAGATGATTCTGATATTTATCTTTGGAGCAAATTACTTTTATTTATTTGTTATTCCCACCCCCTCCCCCCCCTTCCACCCCAACAATGTAGGGGGATTACTAACAATATTACTTGTTTCAGGTGGGCAGGGCATTAAAGTCGAGGAAAAATGTGGCATAAAATAATAAAAATAACACCAAATAACCCTTAGAAAACCTGACCTAACATTTCCTAACCTTTAGAAATCCTAAGGTAAAAGTTCACCTTATTCGTGTTTTCAGTGTTTAGTAGGTGATGGTGTTGTTTTCGGTGTTCAGATGAGAAGGGATTTAATAAACACTCAAGTGATTCTTAACATTTTTACAAGTTAGGAAACATTAGGTCAGGTTTTCAAAGGTTTGTATGGTGTTATTTTTAGTATTTTATGAACGAGAGCGACGTTGCATGTCACCAGAACATCAAATTGGGACTAAGAATATTCTTTAATTACAACAAATAAATCCCGAATATCGCGTTTACTTTTGGAATGCGCCTCTAAATTCAAGTACAGTATATTCTTTTGTTTCTTGATGAGATCTACTAAATGATAAGGAAAAAAAATCATAAAAAGGTGATGAGTGGTTAACGAAAAATAGCTGAATCATCTAAAACAGCAAGAAAACTAGTGAAAACAATTATTTTTCACATGATTAACAAAAAATTACCCTATTTTTTGTTAGTAGTTTTCCTGGTCGACTTAAAATGAATCTTTACCATAACATTTCTCTGTGGGTATTTTGCGTTAGTGTTTTATATACGTACCTGCACGTCTATGTATACTGTATGCCTGTGTTGTCTGTATACTGTACAGTATATGCAGAACTATATACAGGTACCTGCATTATCTAAAATCAGGGTAATGTTGCATTTTCAACAAATATGCGACCCTCCACAAGCCCGTTGTGACCCACTGCTAATTAAGGTATTCACTCTAGGTTAGGTTAGGTTGGTTTTGAGTTGAGCAGTGTGTTTTTTCGATGGTCATTGCTCAACTCGAGAGCCATATTGGTTGAAAATGTAAATTTACCCAAATCGGTACATGCCAAACCAATTGTAAAATTGTATAGCAGTTAATTTACCTACCTTATTTACCTAATGATCACTAACTAGAGGTAGCCATACCAATGGAAGGAGGCCAATGGCCTGTGTAGGATCCCTCCATTGTTCCTGATAATTTTGTCAAGGGTTGTTTTGAAGCCCAGTTCTGTTCTTGATTTCACAGCTTGGGCTGGTAGACCATTCCATAGGTCTACCATCTTCCGTGTGAAAAAGTATTTCCTTAGATTCATTCTACATGATAACTTGTGACCTTGCAGTTATGTCCTTTCATGTTGGCGGTGCATGACATCTCAAAGAAATGTCCAGGATTCATGATTTCCATCCTTTTCAGGATTTTGAATGTTTCAGTGAGGTCTGCCATATTGTGCCTTGTCTGATAATCGAGATGACAGTTCCAGAATCATTTTAGTTGCTGTGTTGCACCTTTTCTAGGGATGTTAAGTCTTTCTGGAGGTAGGGTTTTAATGCCTGTAGACTTTAATCCAGACTGGGACGTACTTGAGATTTGGACAGTTGAAGGAGCATTTTTTTATTTTAATTTTAAAATCTGCGCTTTATAATTCCCAAACCTCGATTTGCTTTTCTCACTGCTGCCTCCACTTGTTGCACTGATTTCAGTGAATGATCTATCACAATGCCTAGATCTTTCTCCTTGTTAACAGTATCCAGGAAAGTGCTATTAATAGAATAGTTGTGATTAGGATTGTTGTATCCTACGTGTAGGGTCTTGCATTTCATATTGTTATTATAGGTGGTAGTTGTGATACTACTGTACTTAAGAAAGATGAGATGAATCAAACTAATCTATGCTGTATTGTATACTGTATGTAATTAAAAGGCTAATAGAACCTAATAGAACTTGACCCTAACCAACCTAATTTAAAGTAACCTACCTAACCCTCTCTAACTTAGCAAAAAAAAATTTTTAAAACATACCCAATGACACTGAATGGATTTTCTTTTTCATTTATCTCTTTAATAGACTGTAATTAATGTTTCCACAAAGTTTTGTTCAATTCTATCAACTCCTTCTGGTGTTAGTCTAAAAAAAATCTACTTAAATAACAACTGGACAAATGTCAACAGCATAACTAAAATGGTAGTGCTATAGAATAGATTATTTATGTTCAAAATAGTTTGTATTTCTTAAGATTTTCAGTGAAATGTTTGTTTTAATGTTTAAAATACGTATAAATATGGCAAGAAATAAAATATATACTTAAAATTGACTAAGGAACTGATAAGTAGGCTGTGGAAATGGCACTTCCAACACTACAGGAAATTGACAAATACCATCATCGAATTATATCTGATTTTAGCAGGAAATGAACCACTGACTACCGCCAGTCTTGAGTAGCTATACAGTATATAGCTAATTATAAATCATCACTGCTATAATCAGGTACCTGTACAGTATACAGTATTTCAACTATGATTTCCTTTCTTTTGCTGAGTTTCTGAAGTAACAGAGGTAACAGAGTGTAGGTACATGGCATTTCCAAAATAAATTCAAGGCTGATTTTTCCTTGTTCCACCATATGTTTAAGCTAAGCATTGAATCTAAAGTTTCATTGAACATACCAAAGAAATAATAAGTCCAAAATATTATTGTAAACACTGTAAAATATATATATATATATATATATATATATATATATATATATATATATATATATATATATATATATATATATATATATATATATATATATATATATATATATATATATATATATATATACATACATACAGCTCCTTCCCGACTTAAGACAAGGTTAGGGACCCAAATCCAGGTCGTAAGTCGAAAATGCTTAAATAATACATAGGAAATCTAAAATGGATGTCTCTTTTTCTTCTCAGCACCACAAAACTCTCACATTTAAGCTTGCCAGTCATTTTAAAGTGAATTACAGACGAAAATTTTGTCTGTGTACTGACTTTGGGACTCGAAAATACGTAATTTGACAAAATTTAGCCGGAACAATTGGTGCAGAGCACTTACGGGAATGAAAGATTTCCGGATAACGAGACGACTCAAAGCCAGAAAAAAATTCCCTCAACCCCGGAATTTCTCAGAATCCGGGTAACAGAAATATTTTCTCAGAAGTTCCAGAAATTGCCCATTACATCATCTCTCATCCCCGGAATTTTACGGGTAACTGAAAATTTTCTCAGAATTTCCAAAAAATATGCCTGATTTCTATCTCTCAAACCCACAAAAAACTCCTCCATCCCCGAAATTTTCCGTAATTTTTCGGGTACCGGGAAATTTTTTCGGAATTTTCCAGAAAATGTGCCCCTCAGAAAATCGTTCCCAAAGCCGGAATTTTCCAGAAAATTCTGGTTTTGGGAACGATTTTCCTATAAAATTTAAATTCCGGCTATCTGAGAGTTCCAGGTTTAAGGGATTCCGGCTAACGGAGATATTACTTATATATACTGTACTGTGTGTGTGTATATATATATATATATATATATATATATATATATATATATATATATATATATATATATATATATATATATATATATATATATATATATATATATATATATATATATATATATATATGGTGTTCCTTAAATACCTTTCATAAATCAATCGTTGTATTCCTAAGATATAAATAAGTATAAATGACTAAATAACCTAATTGTCACTTCTCAATACAGTAGTTTCAGAGTTACCTATAATACTGGATAGGTAGGTGAATTAAAAATAGAATTCAAACAGAAAATTCTGTTATTTATTTAAATGTGGTAATTCTAAATGGAATGTGTACATCAGTGAGGCCTTGTGCTGCACAGCAAACATGCTGCGGTGAGTTTCACACATCACTTGCATAATATATATATATATTTTTTTTACATAGTTCCACACTTGCATATGATAGTGTACCCAAGATTTTAGCTACCTTGCAGTATGATCGCTGAAGTTAATTTAAGGTGCCTTTTGTCACTGGTATTTATGGCTGGTGACTTAGTTTAGTCATGTATGAGTCCGCTGAAACTTTGTTATTAAGATAACTACTCATTTGTTTGTTTTTATTTGTTTTGTGTATTGTACTGTACTTGAATTTTCATGAATGTAACACCGATATATTCATTATTGATAGCATGAAGGCAGATTTTTTATGCATAGTCAGTAGGATATTTTTTTAATTTGCTATGACATTTTTAAGTGTCAAATTATAAAGATAAGACATTTTCAATTTGCAAAAATGTCCAGATGTAAGTGGAGTACGCTTGACATTATCCTTCACCTTCTATGTGGTGTAGTATATGGGAAAGATATCACTTTGTAAGTGTTCTAGGTATTTTGAAATACGTATACAACACCATTACCAGATGCAGTGTTTGTTTACAATTAATTATTGTATAGGTGTACAGGTGGATTCAAGAATTAACCTTTGAAGTTGTGTTTAGTACCCATTCCTTCTTATTCAGTACAGTACCGGTACAGTACTTGTGTGGTTTAACTGTGATTACCTGATTACAGCTCTCTATGCTGCATGGTCTCTTGTGGGCTCGCCCCCAAGCTTCTTATCTCGATTTATTACTCTCAACCTCTCCCATGTCATTCTTTGTATACCCTTAGCTCTCCTCCCCTCCCTTCTTAACTCCTGCACCTCTTGACCCAATTGGTCTCTTCCATTCTCTCCACTTGCCTAAACCAACTCAGTTTACTGCTATGCAAAACTTTGCCAATGCTCTCAATATCCAGCTGCCCACTTAGCTGTGAACAGGGTTTTCTATCTTTCAGGGTCAAATTTCACATCCATTACCATTCTCATTTCATCTTATGTTTCACTGCCATACAACATCACACTTGATTGTTTTGTTATTTTGCTGGATTCACATATTACCTGTGCTTGCTAATATAAATATATTTGTATATAATTTTTTTCTGTGTCTTAATGAAACTTTGTTTTTCTCTGTCCAGTTAAACAAAATCACTGAGATGGCAGAGAGTGAAGTTAAGAAGGACTGTGAGGTGATTGACCTGGAAGATGCTATGGGGGCTCTCATAACCTCAGAGAATTACATCATTGTTGATATTGGAGCTAACCTGACCAACAAGAAGTTCACAAGGGACCTAGACTCCGTTGTGTCAAGAGCTCGAGATGCAGGTACGGATCTTTAATGTGTAGTACAGTCAGTGACATGCTGCCAGTAATTGAAATAAGAAACATCTCATCTTTGCATACATAAAGTTGTAAACATAATCACCTAAATATTGTAATGAGATAAGGAATTAATTTAAACAATTGTCTTATCAGATTAAAATTAGCAGCATCACATCACAGTTTGCAAAACAAAACCAGCCTAATTTTCTTCAGATATAAAATTATATAGCAAAAATTTGTGATGCACTTTATAGGTTTACTTTGCTCTGGATGAGATATTCTTTAGATTCCATTATATCCTCTTTGATTTGGGAGATCTATGAATTACATCCTCTGTTCCAGAGGTTACAAATTTTTTAAATGTTTATTAAGGCTTAAATTTACTGCTTGTTGTCTAAGTTTCATTTATGCTGAACTGTAATAGGAGTTAAGACTGGTACTGTACCTGGCATAGGCCTTCCTCATACAAAATTACAATAATAATAAAAATAATAATTAGAAAAAGGCTTTACTGTGAAATGAACATCCTACTGTACTTTTGCTATACATGATGTGATAATGTTTAGCACCCTTTAAGCCTGTTATTTTTGTACCAACTGGTAATTATATTTTAGTCTATAATATAATAGTAAGTGTGAAATTAGGCCCCATAGGGTGACACACCAAAGATTTAGCATACTAAACATGAAGAGGCAGTGTGGCCAGTAGGGCACTCAGCTGCCTTCACTTCCACTGCTGTAAAGTCAGGTACCCATTCACTGCGGGCTGAATAGGGGGGTGATGCCCAAGATGCAAACCAGCAACCATTAGAACAAACTGAGCTCTGTATTCACTCAACTGCCACACCCCAGATTAGTGTGTGCAGGTACCCTACAAACAAATTTACAGGTATCCAGGTATTAGCTGGATGCACTTATTAAAGCAAAGGATTTTAACATCTTTACAGGAGTTCGCAAGATCATGGTGACGGGCATCACAGTACAGAGCAGCAAAGATGCACTTCGCCTAACACGCCTCTTCCCTGAGACACTCTACTCAACAGCAGGTGAGCCATCATGAATGGAGAATTTATTTCCTGAATTATCTCTGTACAGTACACTTCAGTGAAATACGGTAGGTCTCGGACCAATTTTTCAGGTCTGAGACATCTTGAACGTCACAAAGTTATATACTGTATTAATTTTCAGGTGTTTTGGGAGGGATTAGTGAGCTGGTTAAGTTTGGGTTCAGGTAGTGGAGATATCTCACCTCAAGTCCCTACTTAGACCACTAATCCACCTAAGTAGGGATTTCCTGGGCTGCAGTCAATTTTTTTTAGACAAGGGAACCCATGTAACAGATATTACTCCAGTTCAGTTCTGGAACCAGGAGGAGGCCAAGTTTCCATCACTGGTCACTTTGGCACTGACAATTCTGACTGTGCCTACCTCTAGTGCTCTAGTTGAGCGTGTATTTTCAGTGTGAAAAAAATTTGTGATTTTTGCATTTGTTGGAATACTGTATAAACTTGACAAAAAACACACAAAATATTCATAATTAAATGAGGCATGAGATAACCCTGAACACATTTTTATGATATTAAGAAACTGAAACATCTAATATTACTTATATGGAAAGTTAGGTCTTGTAACTTTACTAAAGTTTTTTTTTATGATTTAGGTGTCCATCCTCATGAAGCCAAGTCATGGGATGATGAAACAGAAGAGGCACTAAGAGAACTAGCAGCTAATCACGAAGTAGTGGCCATAGGCGAGTGCGGACTGGACTTCAACCGAAACTTCTCTCCTCAGGATGTCCAGCTTGAGGTCTTTGAAAAACAGGTTGGTTTAGGTTCATTGTCTTGGTTGTTCGTCTCTTGTACATTACTGAATATCATAAAAGTATAGATATTATTCAATAGCTTGAAATAATTTTTAAGACTTGTGGCCATCATGGAATATTTCTAGGCTTACCATACGTCCCGGATTAGCTGGGACAGTCCTGATTTTGAGCTCTTGTCACGGGGTCCCTGTCGGTTGGTAAGATTGTCCCGGGAGAGAGAGAGAAAGAGTAGGTAGATAGATAGAGGGCCCAGGGCCCTCCCTATCCTCCTCCCACCCCCTCCCCTTGCCACCCTTCCTCTATGTCTACGTTCTATTCCTTCTCATGCATCCAGTTCCTGTTACAATTTTTCATGCTAATTAAACCCTTGAATGGTATCGTCGTGTCTGACAGACCCAACAATTTTCGACATTCGTTTGTTGTATAGGGTTACTATGTATGTACACCTACGCTGCATCCTAGGCTATACCTTCAGTTCCTGCTTATACATCGCTGAGGGTGGGTGCGTCACTCCGTGCTCCTATTCCTTCATTGTGTTTATATGGTGTTTGTATCTGTTAGACCTGAGGATACCATTAGTACAGGGGATAAATAATCTTTGTGTACCATTAGTGAAATCAGAAACTGTACAGTCATTTCTGCTACAACGCGTGTTTTGTCAACATGAATTGGCTATAACGCGATTGATGAATAGAAGAACGATATTTGTAAAACGGGAACGCGTGTTGACTGTAACGCGATTCCACTCGAACGTTTTAAGTGTACAGTCACTTGGCGCGAGGTTATGCAGTGTTTACAGTTCACGTTCGACATCACATGTTCAATTGATTCATGTGTTTTGTTTGTGAAGTGTTCCCATAAATACTGTATGAAAAAAAAATACAAATAATGTTTCGCAGTGCAGACTAATAGCGTTTTACACCCGCACTCTCTGTTTCCATCACACGATCAGTTAAAACTTGTGGGTTGTTTTGAAGCATCCTCAGTGATTTTTGCTTCCTGTTTCTCCAATTTTGTGGTATTAACTGTGTTACATTTACTATATGATTTCATTATTAGATATGAATGTAACATTTATTTAGACTGCTATCCTTTGTGTTAGGCTAACTACTACATTTTTTTCGATTTCAAGTAATCTGCACCTAACCCTATTTTCTCCATAAGCCCTGTTACAGTATTTATATTGCGCGAATATCTACAACGCGAGGTTTTACAAGAACACAACTACCGCGTTGAAGCAGAACTGACTGTATATAACTCTGAATTATTAGAAATATGATAAGTTTTAGTGTGTGTGATGGTGTGAGAATAGGCTTTGTGTGTTGGCCATTGTTGCCGGGAAAAAATAAGATGTTTTATTGTGAATTAAATTATTTAATACAGTATTAATTTATAATTTGTATCTACTTTTCTGAGTTTTACTGTTCCACTTTTAAAAAAATCTAATCTAATACAGATAACATGCCAAAGAGAAAGTGTAAGTTTACTGATGACATGAAAAAAGACTATTCATTTCTCAAGAAAGCATGTCCTGGGTCTTCTGGTGATCGTGTTCAGTGCCTACAGTGTGGATCTATATTCTCAGTGAGTCACGGAGGACGATCTGATATCAAAGATCATGACCAAACTACAAAGCACAAGAAATCTCTAGCAGCAACAGCTTTTACATCATCTGTTGCAGACTTTAAAAAAAAATGATCCAGATGGCAAGGACCTAATTGTTGCTGCAAAAGAAGCCACATTTGCCTATCACACAGCTGTTTGTGGATTAAGTTTTAAAGCATCAGACTGTAGTTCTAAATTGGTGTCAAAAATTTTTTAACCCAAATTTGGACTAGCTAGAACAAAATGTAAAGCCATAATTATTGAATGTAATTGTGCCTATGTGTAGTGAGGAATTGCATGATGAACTTAAAACATCCAAATTTGTCTGTATCACAATTGATACTTCAAATCGAATAGAGGTATAAAACTTGTGCCTGTGATTGTGTGTTATTTTGTACCACAGGAAGGTGTGAAAGTTAAAGTGCTTGAGTTTAAGTCTGTGCCTGGTGAATTATCTTCTCTCTGTTCTCAAGGAGCATGGGCTGGTCGAGAAAATTGAAGGATTTTGTGGTGATAATTGTAATACAAACTTTGGAGGTGTAAAAAGAAAAGGATCAAACAATGTATTTTCGAGACTAAAACAAGAAATTGGAAGAAATCTGATAGGGATAGAATGTGCAGCACACAGCTGCATTCAAAATGCTGCTGATGTTTTGCCATTTGACATACAGTCTGCGCGGAAAGTTAGTTCGTCTGCTGAAAAAAATTGCATATTTACTGTTATGTTATATAAATAAAGTTAAGTAACATTTAATACTTTTTGGCCCTTGAAAATCATATGCCATTTTCTTCAATGGCATGTGATTTTAAAAAATTTGTAGACCTAAGCCAAAGCGAAAAATAAACTTATCATCCTATCATGCTGAAGGACACCATGGATTCTCTAAACCAAATAAATTTCAAGACAGTGGAGCAAATAATAATGAAGGAGAAGCACTTTGAAAATTTAGAAAGGGGTGAAAAGGGCCAAAAATGAAGGGGGTAGAGGAGGGGGTTTGGGGGCTAGAATTGACCTACATGTTGTCCGTAATTAGTGACAGGAATATCAAAGCATTCAGCCAATATTTAACGCCCTTGTATCTCAACCAGACTCTCCCCTAAAGACACCGAAGTGTGGAGTGTGTTTTAAGGTCTTAGTCTTTTGTATCTTTTACATTTTATTTTCACACCTCTCGACTTTTAAAGGCTGGTACAAGAAAAACCTTTTTCTTTGTGCTATAAGGTGTTACGACTGACTTGACACAAAAGAAACCTTTCTTAAAATTGTGTGTTACCAAGAATTCTGCAGGTTTATTTGACTATAAACCAAATGAAATGTTTACATTGTGCATACAATGATCTTTAAGAATATATGGGAATTAGTTAGGGTTTCCGTAAAATGCATACTTAAGTAGAATAACAAAAGATAAAAAGCAGAAAGAAACCAAATAGGTACAGAAACTGTACAAATAAAGGAGTAATAGAAGATAAAGAATAGGAAAATTAGATTAGAAAAGGTAATACTGTACAGTTTTATGTTTAAAAATCTGAAGGTGAATGAGGGAATATCATTTACTTCCTAGAATGGTAGTGCTTCAAAGAATATTTAGGCTACTATTTGTTTTACGATTATATTAGCCAATTCTTTTCATTTACTGTTGCCCAAATGTTATTAATGTGGTCAGTACAGTATATATGGTACCATTTGCTGTCAGTAGAATTTTTTTGGGGGGGGGGGCTTACTAATGGACAGTATTAACAGTCTTAATTGTGGAATATTTTACAGGAATTTACTTAAGTACAGTATCTATAAGTTTTGCTGTTTTAGTGTTGAAAAAATCTTCAACACCATATCATAGAAACTTTAAAGGTTTGTAATGTGTTGACCATTGTCTGTCAATTTTAGATTTAAAATTATAAGGGAATCTGAGGTACAGTAGCTAAAAAAAGTATCTGACAGGGTGGGTCAGATGGCTTCCTAAATTATGCGTACAACTCATGATGTCTCTGGAGGGTTAGTATGCTTGTCTTCACCCACCGCCATTCAGTATCCAACACAGAGAGTGAGTTGTCATATAGGAATAAAATGATCGGTCAAGTGATTACTCTCATATTGTATAAGGAGACAACACGCATATCCCAAAACCTATCATCATGGTCTCATATTGTTTCACACAGAGTATGCACAGATACTTTTTTTGGCTACTGTACAGTTGGTTAGTTTTTCCATTACCTTTGTGGTATATACCTGATGGAAATATAATGGAGGAATTTAGTTGTGAAAACACATGGCACTTGCAAAACTGAAACATTTTATTTGCATCATTAGTTGCTCCATATTTTTCTTTCAGGTCTCTTTGGCATGTGAACTGAGGAAACCTTTATTTGTACACGAACGAGATGCTCACAAGGAGGTACTAGAGGTGTTGGGGAAGTATAAAGGTCGTCTGCCAGCAGTGGTAATACACTGCTTCACTGGGGATGCTACCCAGGCAACTGCCTACCTCAAGGAAGGCTGCTACATTGGACTAACAGGTAAAAAGACCATGTCATAAAAGTAAGAAACCTTTCTGTGGAAGTGCTTCCTTGGCTGAGACCATCTTATCTTACCTTTGAATGAAATATTATTATTATTATTTTATTACTTAGCACCTTTCTATCACATTTCATAAATTTATTGCATTACTATTGGTTACAATTTCCTTAAACTTTTATTAATATTTAACTACAGATACTCTTTTACCTAGTAAATTTTTTTGGTAACTTCATTTACTATTTTATTAGAATTTTAACAGCTGTGTTTATTGTATAACTTTGGTGACTGATACAGATCACCAGCTGCTGTAGTAATAGTAAGATGATATATTAGTGACCTGAAATATTTTCCTACCATACCTCAGGATATGTGTGGAAAGATAAATCTGAGGATGGCGTACGACGAATTTTGGAGGATGGAGTTGTTCCTCTTGATCGTCTCTTAGTGGAAACTGACTCGCCGTTTATGTATCCCAACACCCGTGCCTCCAAACTTCCCCCCTATGTTAAAGAGACACTCACGGAAAGGTAAGACAAGTTTTTATAGTGAGCTGTTAATAAATTTACCCTTTTCACACATCACATGCAGCCACATTTGTAAATTGCAAGGGGCCCCTCAAGTTTGCGGATTCTTATTTCACGGTCCTCTATTATTCGCAGATGACACCCTGGATGTACCCAAGAATGTCTGTGGGTATTTTTAAAGTTGCCGGCATTTTAGCTGCTGGGGCAGGGAGCCATACATTCTAGAGACAGTAATTTCCTTTACCTGTGTATTGTAAATATATGAGTGCCTGTAGACACACACACACAAAACATATACAAATAAATAATAATTGGAAAGTCCTCTCACAAATAATCAAAAATAATTTTATTAAAATGTGAGTCTACCCTCAAGTCCATACTTTATTACTTTAGTAATAAAGCACAGACTTGAGGGTAGACTGTCACATTTTTAATAAATTTGTTTTTGATTATTTGTGAGAGGACTTTCCAATTATTATTTACTTGTATATGTTTTGTGTGTGTGTGTCTACACACACACACACACACACAAACAAATATACAATACAGTCATCCCTTGATTATCACGCCTAATTGGGACCGCGCCGAGTGCGCCATAACGAAAGTACAGGACCTATGGGATTTATTCTACAGTATAGTCTGCATTTACGTGGTCAATTGAACCCGTGGAGGCCCGCATAATTTTATGATGGTATGCACACACAATTAATAATTAAGAGAAATATCAATAATATTAGGTTTTTTAACACTTACGTTAGTAGAAAAGCTGGGTCGGCACACGTGGATGGCGGCTGGTTCCGAGGCAGAGGGCAGATTAGTTGCCCTCCGGTGAATCACTTTCACTACTCGCAGAGGTTTGCAGGGCCTCCCAGACAAACCCCTCAAAGTCCATATCCTCACTGTCAATATCACTATCACTGACTTGGGCTGGCTGTGGTTGTGGTGGGTTGCGGGCGAGGAAGTCCTCAATACTACGTAGACGACTAGCATTGATGTTGTCGAGATAGAACTGGATATACGGCTCTATAACTTTCGTCAGATGGTTATTAGACGCTTCATACCGATGCTTGTCTGGGTCGTTGTCAAGGATGAGCTTAATTTTCTCCCCCAACTCGATGATTTCCTTCACATTATCATGGCTTGGTCCAGGTAATTCAGTGTTTTTCTCTGGTGGTGGGGGTCCCGCGGAAGCCATTGTGAGTTGTGAGGGGAATAGCGGGCACAAGAGAGAACTGTATACGCGGACTGAGAACAATGAGACAGGCCCGGCTAGGTCAGCAACTTCTACCCTCTGGTGGCAGGGCACGTCATGTTATATTAGACCAATCACAGCTAGCGGCGGAGGGAATGCGTGGGTGGTAAGGATGCGTGGCCCAATCACAGTCCAATACGTCATATGACGTCAACGATAACGTAAGAGTGGCCCAATGCGCACCACTCACCGTGCCGCTTCCCGCGTATGGTCAAGAATGGTGCGCGTGGGTAAAAAATGGTGCAGCGGTCTGGGCCTCTCCAGTCGCTCGCCGCGTAAATGACCAAATTTACCGCGTAATTAAAGCATTTTCATTTTGGCAAGGGCACTGCGAAAATGACCAAACGCGTAAACAAAAACCGCGTAAATGCAGACTATACAGTACTGTAATTGGTTCCAGGCACCCGAGACCCAACCCCAATTTTCCCATTTTACAACCATTTAGACCATGGGTGTCAAACTCATGGCCTGCGGGCCAAATGTGGCCCTTGGGATGGTCAGGTGTGGCCCGCGGGATGATGGTAAAATTTATCATCCAGTGAAATTATGAAAGAAATAGATATAATCATGTTTATTTAGTAAAATGAATTTTACATACTTAAGATCAGACAATCCCAAATGAGGTATTCCTGGTAAGCCAGGTAAGGCAATGTGTGAAGCTGTGAACTTCAATCCTGCAAATATGTGATATAGCACTTGTGTTGGCCCTGAAGAGGGTAATTAAAATAAGAATTGGCCCTCGAATAGGTATTGAGTTTGACACCACTGATTTAGACACACTAAATATATAGATAATGTGATGGTAAGTATCAGAAAAACACATAGGTATGGCTAGGTTTATTACAAAGTGATGAAATGGGTACGCTGAATACTGTAGTCCACAAAACATGTAGCTATGCTTTCTTTATTTGAGTCCCCCGTCTGAGGAGTCCGTTTTTTCATTGCTTCAGGACGCCTGAGTCCTCCGTTTTCTCTCAATCTTAGAGTGCACCCGAGACTTCGTTATTCCTTAGTAATGACACAGAATTTGAAATTGCAACTGGGGTTGCAATTGTTGAGGCAACTTAGAAATGTCTGATTACAGCAAATGTGTTATTATCAATTTGTAGGTGAAAGATTTTATCCTCAATAGATGTAAGTGAAGCAAATGGGTAAAAACACCTGGAGGCAACTGCGTGATAACGAAATTCTCGGCTTGAAAAATGCTCTATAACGGCAGGTGTGCAGATTTTGATGGAGGCGTGATAACGAAAATCACGATAACCAAAGGATGACTGTACTGGTGAAAGAAATAATTGCCCTAACGGCAATTCGCGGCCATTTTGAGAACCTAATCCCCTCGAATTTGGGGGACTCCCTGTATTCATATTCATCGTGGCAGAGTTCAATACAATGGCTGGCCTTGCTTTTTAATTACTGTAATTTGAATATATGTTGCTTTTTCTGATCATATCACACAGACCTTCTCTAACAGATTACATCCTCATTAAACCCTAGTTACTTGTGTTCTTCACCTTTGTTATATGTGCCCTTTGTCAGTACACATTTGTTATACATATTCTCTATCACCCAGTGCTTCAGTTTCTGTCTGCATCTGTTCTATTCTACTCTCCAATACCTTGTTGCTAAAGACTTGTGAACATGGGGAAAATTGTTCATTACACTGATGTTACTTTCTTTTGACAGATCTTTGACGTTTCTTCACCGGTATTGCACCTTCCAGCGTAACGAACCATGTTCCCTTCCAGTAACTATTGAGATGATTGCAGCTTACATGAAGAAGAAGTCGGAACAGGTAGCTCTCCAAACCACTTTCAATGCTCTTAAGGTATTTGGTTTAAGCACTTGAGCAATAGGAATATAGGAACTTTTATACCAGTAATGTCTGCAGTGTAATATCCAATGATTGTAGGAACCTGCTGCTCTCTATATTTTAATTGGATTTAGTAATTGTTTATTTCTTAGAAAAATTAATTACTCCAATTATATTATTATCTTATGGGTCTTTTTCAGGAAGACTATCTAAAGAATACATTATCCTTAAAGTAGCAAAGTTTTGTTGGTATCCTACTTTTACACCAGACTCAAGTTTTTTTTTTACAATCTAGTTAACCTCTGCAGCAGCTGATCTCACAGAGTTTGCCTTTACAAGATTAAAGGTTAAAGGATGTAGATGCCAATCAAAGAGTGTTGCCATCCTAAATACTCTTTTTTTATCATACTAGATCAAGCTGTTGATTGGTTCATTAGTTAGAATTAAATTGTATTTGCCCATTTGTCAGTGAAGGTACTTCCAAACTTTGAAGACTTTCTCCATCATTTATGGTAGTGTGAAGAATGAAGTTAGTGGTAATGCAGTGCCATCTCATGAGAAATTGTTTTGTTCAAGCTTTCCCAATTACCCTAGTCAGGCGCACTCAACTGGTAATATGAAGACTGGTTTGTGTCTGCCTATCTGGTGTAATGCGAAGGGCAACTATGACCAGATTCTCACCTGAGTAAGTGCAGGTTAAATACTCATTTGTTTATATTTTTATCCAATATGAATTGAAAATATACTTTATTGAGAAGTGCAGTACAAGTATTTCTCCATGGTATGTTTTTTAATTGTAAGCAGTGGAAACACTGCACCATTTAAATTGATGTAAAATGTCATGTATGTGTTTATGAGCATTCTAAATAAAATCTCTGAAGGCCTGGGTTTATCTCTGTATTTTTTATGATAAATATTATTGTGATAAATGATGGTGCTCTTGTGTAATACTGTACTGTAGTACATTTAATATCATAGTTGTGATATTTGTAATAAAAGTGCCTATCCCTAAATTTATAAACATTATTGCTGGATTTTGGGGTAATGCAGTCAGTGCCTGTAATGTCCAGTATATCAGTAAATCTACTGTATATGGGCACTTTAACTCAGAGCTTGGATTAAAATAAAATTTAAAATTTTTCCCTGTATCTGTGCTAGCACTTTAGGTTGACAAAATATTTTTTCTTGATGCTTTATTTTTCCTTGAAAACCAAATTCTAGTCCTTGTTTACCTAATTTTTCCTGCTTGATCATGCGGTATCAAGTTGTGGGCATCATTGCATGTGTTCATCTTTTGTGTTTGCCACTCATCTTCATATAGTGTTTGGTGTATTCAGATCACTGTTTTTTTTTCATCCTTTGTCTTGTGTAATGGAGATGTGTTTTAAATACCGTATATTAAACCTTTAAATATTTAGCTTTATAGTTGGATTCTTTGAATAGAAATAAAATTGTTAAAGATAACTTATTTATTGAGGTATGGAGGCAGTCAGTTGCCACGATGTTTATGGATGGTGTTACAAGGGGTACCCTCTTTAGATTGTTGCAACTGATATTTATGACAGATCAATGAATGTATCATATCGCATATAAACTCTAATAACTCTAAAGCAGCGTTTCGATATAGAGAGTTTTATATCTCGTAAATTTTAATTGTTTGTGGAGTACTGTAATGTAATTACAAACCTTGTTATGCACTTGAAGACTTTAGTAAAGGTTAGTTGAAGTGCAATAACAACATTAGTATGCAAAATGTAGTTACTTGAAGACCTGCTCTGTGCTATCATTGTAGGACAGTACTTCTCATTCTCAAACCCTTCACCACTTTGTAATCTAATATTTTGACTAGATACGTATTATACCATGGTGGTGAAGCACATGGATGAAATATTCTATACGTGTTTCCTCTGTATTTGAATTGTCTTGGAGGGGTCAAGTCTTTCAACTGTTTATGAAGCTTTATAATGGTATGACACTATCATTTCCCATAAACATGTTATTGTCTCAACCTCTTGCTTTCTCCAAACTTGAGCAGAGGTTTGTCATTGTACAAAGTGTACAATGAAGCCTATTGATCAGAAGGTCTTATAGGGTAATTCATGCTAATTGTGGTGGTACTGTCTATTCTGAAGTCATTGTACTCTTCATTGTCAGACATCTGTCCAGTTTAAAAGGATCTGGAAATTACCTGGACAGTAGACAAACATTGTCCAAGGATCCTCCTCCCCGTGATTTCTATTTTGAAGTTAAAGTTTATTCATTTGTCACACCTAAGAATTTCATGGATTTTTATCATACTGGAGCATATCAGAGTTTAATGAAGTGATACAGATATTTGTACTCTTTCACTTGTTCATGGTGTCCGTCCGACAACAAATTTATACTGTAGGTAAAGATTGAAACCTAGCTTTAAAAAAATAAATAAATAAATAAAATTCTATGACATTACACATAAATCTCCCCAGCCATACACATGTAAGGCATACCTCATGTCAAGACCCCTACAGAGGCAACACTCACTTTTAACAGAATAACCATGCTTTGTTTTCAAACTTTCTGGTATCTATTAAACCCTTTCGCCAGCCACTCGTGTGGTTCAACTCTCACCTGTAGACCAACCGATGGCGCAAATTGTGTCATCCAAAATGCATAGATTTTTCTTTTATTTTATTTTTTTTATTTACCATTTATTGGTAAAATAATGCAAATTTTTTCTTTGAATTTATTTACTTATGAAAATAAACTTTGATTAAGTGATAAAACAACAAAATAGTTGATTAATGATATGGGATGGCTGAAAATGAGTGTGGAAAGATAATACCTTATGTGCCAGTGTGAGCGCTCAGGGTCATGGGACACTTGTCACTGCCCGGCAAAAGGGTTAATTTCATACTAAATTTACTCTTAAACTCAGTCAACAGAGCAAGTATAAGGTGACCCTTACAATATCATGTAAATTAAATACAGTTGCCCATCTTGTATTGATTCACACATCCACAATTGATTTATTTTCTTCCCAAGTGGTCTTTATTTTGTTTTTAAATCTGACCTGTAATTACTCTTTGTTCCATCTTCTACTCATTCTGAAACATATTCTTTCATTTACTGTATAGGTATCCACACTCCTGTCACTCCGAACCTTAATATTTCTGTCTTTTATTTTCTAAACTAAATACTAAATCCTTTCCAATTGCCCCAATATTAAACCTAGCCTTCACATTTCTTCAATTATTTTATAACAGTTTTGACTTGTATATTGGTTTATCAGTCATGTAATAATACAACCCTTTTATTTATTTTTTTTTTTTTTGAGTGCTCATAATTTTTTTAAATTCATGTGTGTGAAAGATTGTACTACACACCATTGCACTCTTTATACGCTGTAGTAACAGGTGAGTGATACTGACATTTATCAGGCTTACACTACTCCCTTTTTTTTATTCTTCCTAAGCAAGTCATACACACAACTCACCTTAGAAGAAATCAAGTTCATTTATGGTTCTAAGCACAGCAGTTTAAAATCTCACCTTGTTAGAATTGCACCTCCTCTTCCTCCTGCTGCCCTAAACACCTGGGCTGGTAAGACCAACTTGTAAGCATTGTCACTCTTGTAACTGTTGTCCTCCCATTCTTAAGTTTTCCATTGTGTCTTATAATTTTGGCTGTGCTCACATGGCACTTAACTTAATAATAAGTATGTGGGCATAAAAGTCTCATTAATTATTTTTGTATTTTTCTGTGTTATCAGTTTATGGTATTATATAATTGTAATATAATATCATATTTTAGTAGTACCTTTGTTTGCTTTTTATTAATTTGCAACTGTATCTTTTATTATTACAGTATTTCCATAAGGAATGAATAGTAGGGTAATTCTTTATTTGCTTAAATTGTAATTGGAAGATGAATGTGTCAAAGTGCATTGTCTTATTTATTTACTTATTTATTATATGTTCAATGCAGGAGTCCCCTGCATTACTGATAACGTCACAGCCAAAGAAGCAAAACTTCTCCCTAATACATTATCAATATTCATAAATAGATAGGTCCCTCTAATCATGTCATGTGTTATGGTTGCTAACCCTTGAATGTGATAATTTAATCCTGAGTACAATATTGTTGCACTCAAGGGAATAGGTCATCAAATTCAAAGGGTTTTAACATCATTTATAAAGGATTATGCTATCTGAATCATTGAGGTAATTTATTTTGTTCAGGGGGCTGGCATTAGACTCAAGGAATTAACTTGCCACACTGCCCTCCATACAAGCAATTGAATAAAATACAGATATCCATTTTCAATGTCCGTTCTGTCAATATCCATCAGTCGTAGTAATTAATTTTGTGTCCGTCCATCTGTAATAAGAGTCACTCTTGCTGGTCCATCACAAGTATTGAGAGATGGATGTAGAAATGTAAAAAGAAAGGAGGTTTTAATAATGGTGGTGCAAGAGTTTTACAAAATGATGAAAATCATATTGATAACAGCAGGGAGTTAGGAACAGTGCACGTCTATCTTGTTTTATAGTATTCTGTTTATTGATTATTACAACATACATTACCCAGTTTAGAGTGTGCAAACTTGGCTTTTATATGTTAAATATTACTTTTTCTTTACTTATATCCTTTTCGCCACTGATCGGCTCAGTAGTCGCTTGGGCGGTCGGTCACATCTCTGTTACGCACTGTTGGCAAGTACTGGGCATGCACTGGCTCCTGAATGTATTTGAACCAACCAACACTGATCAAGTCTGGCAGGTTGTTCCAAGAGTTCATATTCTCACTCTGAAAAAGTTTACCCTCACAGTTTCTGGGCTTGTGGCTTCTTCAACCTTGAGCTGTGACGCCTTGTGGGGCAGGCGTCCGCCAGGTCCAAGGTATGAACACTCAACTGAGCAGTGCCCTTTGAGATGTTTACACACCTCAATTAGGTCACCCCTTACCTGTCTGTAGTATAAGCTAGGCAGTTGCAGGTGCTCTAATCTCTATGGATAGCTGAGGTGCCAAAAGTAAGAAAATTGGGTAATTTTAATTAATTACCCATTTTTCAACTCGGGTTGTAGAGCAACACATTTTACTCATTTTTCGAGATTATGGATTGCGGCTTTAAGTTTAATTTGGTTATGATAAATTCAGTGAGAAATAATGATATATTAGGTCCTTGGAGTTGCTACAGGAATAATGATTTAAATTTGATCATCTAGCTGCATATGTATTTACATAAAAGGTTATTACTCCACTAAAAAATTTTGCTGCAATTTGAACTAAAATGGAGTGGTCATGGCTCAGGTATTTGAAAGTAAAATTTGTATTAAAAATGACTATAACACCAGCCTCTAGGAAGGGAAAGCTAGAGGGTGCCCCTCAAATACCATGACAAGCCTTTATCATGAAAATAGAGACATGCTGTACTGTATATATGTTTGGTGGAATTTCTATACTGTACTTATTAAGTCCTTTATAAATTTAATTTGTAATCCAAAATTTCCTAACTATAGCTCCAACTTTCATGTCACTTTAATAGGAAAGAGACATATGTATGAAGAAAGGTGGTGGCAAAAACTGGAGTGTTCATGTAGGTGCTACATACAATACTCATACAAGAGACAAAAAGTCATAGTGGATCTTTTGCCAGAAGACCAATTATGGAAACTGCTGGTTCAAGTTGTTCATTCATAAATACTGTAAATGCTGGCAAAACCACTGTTCCTTTTGAATTATTAAGTATCCATGCCCAAGTACAGTAATGATATTAAGGAAAAGTTTTTGAGTTGTAAGATGACTTCAAACAACTCTTCCTATGTAAGGTGCTTAGGAATGCCTTTATTTTTCCTAAACTTGAAATTGTTAGTTTTTGATAGAAGGAGTAAGTAGTGGCACCAATTGTGCTCCTCATAAGGATAAAAATCTGTATTTTACTCTTACGTGAAATTACCAAAAATATTGACTTACAAAATCAAATGGAAAATCATAATTTTTTGTGGTATTTTTTTTTTTTTTTTTTTAACTGTTGTGTTTACAGTTTGAGGTGCTGATTCACCATGGGTTCAGGTTCTGTAATGTTTGTCAATTTTCTTCCTCCGGGGATAAGGTAATACACCTAGTTATGGTAAAGTCTTGGTATAAAATCAATGCCATTTTTAGATGTTAATTTTATGCTGTAGGTGGGAGAACTCACGTAAATTCTTTCTTACATCTCCAATAATGAGGAAAAAACAGCATACAGTCCTGACCTTTGAGAATCTGGGCCATAGTATCCTTACAAATTGCTGAGAGTGTTTTATTTTAGCCTTAAAGCAATTTAAACTCACAAATGTTTGATTATCTGTCTTTTGAATGGATGCCATTCTGCCTTGGCAGGAAATTGTATGATAAAGCTATTCTAATTCATTATTCATTGTTAATGTACAGATAAACTAGGCATGTGTGCCTCATTGTAAATGCAGTCATGGATGAAAGGGTATTTGTTTTTATTTAATTTCACTTCAGTTATGTAAGATAGTGAAAATCTATACTGTACTGTATTTCAAACACATTTACGTTACATGAAAAAAGTTTTATAAAAACTTAAACTCAGAGCCAGAATATATTTTGAGGATTAGCTTATGTGATCTTTTTTTCTCTTTATTGTATTTTTGTATAGAAAAAATCGGTGATTGTATTTACTGTAAAAAAGAGAATGTAAGATAATTGGAATTGTTCTGTATAGATTATTTTCATAGATCAAGTTTATTAAACCCTAGCTTGTTGATATTGAATGTTAAAGATTGTTCTCCACCATTGTTTTGTAAAACGAGTTAGTTATTTTCCTTAATAGATCTTATTTAATGCCAAGGTAAAAATTCTTGAATAGGATTTTTCTTAAAATTATATGAATATTGATCAGACACCACTATGAGTTAATGTTAGAATTTTATTGTGAAGAATAATGTAAATGTCTCTTAAGGTGTCCAAATGTTACGAAATACTGCTATAAGTATGTGATTTATAATAATTTAATCAGGTGACATAGTATACAGTAATGTTTTAACAACTAGTTTGTGTGTGCTGAGAAATTAATTCAGTAAAAGGTTCACTAACATTCTTCTTGTTCACGTAAAATCAAAAAATTCTACAAAGAACGGTGTGATTATACATGTTGAAGAACTGATTATCAGTCTTTATGGTGTTAACTGTTAACTTTGTGCCTTGGAAAATAGCTGTAGATTTAAGTAATGCCTGTTTGAGGGTGATAGTTTGTATTATTGTCTACACCTTTTGCAGAGAATTTTTTATGGCCAACCACAATAAAGCTTGCCATTATGTAAGGGAACCCCAAAGAGAGGTTATTTACATATGTTCCACATGGGTTTGTGTACATCAAACTGTTTTTCAAGGACACAGATGCTACTCGAGTAGTTTTGTAATCTTGTTGGGAGAATCCTGTTGGATCTTCCTTTAAGGTTTGTGCTTTCATACTCACAGCAATGTTTAACATTTGTCAACATAGAACCTGGCTTGCCAGTTAAGTATTTGCGTGTGACAAAGCACTGATGAATGTTGCCCATTTTGTTCCCCTCTCTCTATAGCTAATAGTCATAAGATCTCAGTATAATCATCTAAAAGAATGCAGAAGTTTGATTTTTTATATACCTTCAGAATCACACAGGTACACTGTTCATATAAGCCACCATATAGTCAGGCAGGCTTGTAAGTATGTATATAATTAAACTACTGTGATGAATATTGTGTTTCAATAGATATTTTGTAGGCTCTAATGCTGATTTTTCTGAATTTGCCAATTTTCATGTTTCATTCCTGTCTTTGTTAAGATGATAGTTCAGCTACAGTTTTTGCTGTTCTTGTCAATAAGTGTATCGTGGGTCTTGTCCTAACTTTTATGACCCGAGGGTTTTTTCTACCTCAAATATTGTCAAGGGGTTGTAAAGATTGTTTCCTTTAAACAGTTGAACAGTTAGGCTCCAGATCATTAGTCTCATTTCCAGTACACACTTCAAAAATGGAGGTGATTTTTTCAAATATTTCTTACAACTGCCTCAACAAATCCCCAGAGAGAAGCCACCAGCCCTAAACATAAGTCTTACAAAAGTCATACGGGGCTTAATATGCCTGTGGATGCCTATGTCTCTCGTGTGTTGTGAAGTTAAATACAGTATAGCATCATGCACAATTGGAAGTCACCCTTCTCTTTTTATGTTGGTAAGTGCACACCAATTTATATATATATGTATATATATATCTTGATAAAATCACACGGGGAAAATGGAAACAATGGAGTACCTTAGCTTTCGTCTTTATTCAAGGTACTCCGTTGTTTCCATTTTCCCGTGTGATTTTATCAAGATTTATCTTATCCACGTTTTCATTGTGGATTTACATGATATATATATATATATATATATATATATATATATATATATATATATATATATATATATATATATATATATATATATATATATATATATATATATATATATATATATATATATATATATATATATATATATATATATATATATATATATATATATATATATATATATATAACCACACAGGAAAAGGGAAACACTGGAGCACCTGAGCATTCGTCTTTATTCAAGACATCTTCAGAGGCAACTGAATTTACAGGGACTGAGAGAGGCTTATATACAAAGGGTTACCTTACATAACATTAGGTCAGGTCAATAACGATGCACTAATCCACACACTATCTTCACCGCACACGAATGAAGAACTTATAAAAAATTAGCGTCTACTACCTACATTAAGTACTGTACAGGGTACTATGTAAACTGATAACAGAAACATGAAAATCATTATAAATTTCAATTACAAAATGTGTGATATGTTCAGCTGGCCATCTCTATATTTGTACAGTAAAAATACTGTAACCGAGTACTTTGTAAAGATTGAATTACAATAAACTGTGATATGTGAATTTGAGATAAACGAGGACTGCCTGTTTTATACTTAAAATGTATAAATACATTGTAGAAAGTTGCCAAATGCCCCTCAAAGCTTTTATAAGAAGAGTACATACTGTTGTAAGGCTTGTGTTAAGTGTGTAACAGGGAGAAATTGATTTTTGTATAAAGTGGGACACTTCAAGGATGTATCATATCATCATTATGTACTTAAGATCAGGATGCAGAGAATAAGAAATACAAAAATTCAGATAGTAATTAAAATCAACAGAGCTGAGCAGGGTTTGCTAAGATGGTAAGAAAAAAAAAATAATGTTTTAGAGGTGAATTTTAGGAGGATGGGGGAAGACCAAAGAGATGGGTGGGATAAGGGATGCACCAGATTGGAGAAGATAAAACATCCAGGGAGCTGCAGAGTTTGTAAATGATGGGATAGTGTGGCATCAAGTGATTGTGGGGATATTAACAGCAATAAGAGTGAGTATATGACAGCAAATTGAGTTTCAATAATTATGTAACATTGGGTCTAAAATACCAAAGAAAACATATTTACAGTATATGAAACTAGACTAATATTATTGAGTATTTCTTGCCAAACAATAATGCTCAAATATTTCATCAACAGAAAACAACAAAGCATGTCATTATGTGATGTGCACCACCCAGGTACTGTACACATCTTGTTTGGCTTCATTATTGCCAGCTGCAGTTATTGATCATAATAAAACAAAGATAAACATTATGCAGATACCACTTAGGGCAGGCAAGTCTCATACTGCATCACAGTAAAGCCCAAAGAGCAACAGATCAGAACACTTGAGTACAGAAAATGCTGATACAGTAATATCTCCATTAGCTGGAATCCCGCAAACCCAGAACTCTCCGATAGCCGGAATTGAAATTTTCTCGAAAAATCGTTCCCAAAGCAGTAATTTTCCAGAAAATAACTGCTGTGGGAATGATTTTCTGAGGGGCACATATTCCGGAAGATTCCGAGAAAATTTTCCCGATACACTGAAAATTCCAGGGATGGGGGAGTTTTTTTCCGGGTTTGAGAGATGAAAATCAGGTGCATTTTCTGGAAATTCCAAGAAAATTTTTCCGTTACCTGAAAAATTCCGGAAATATCTGGGGATGAGGGATATTTTTCTGGGTTCAAGAGATGATGTAATGGGCAATTTCTGGAACTTTCGAGAACATTTTTCCTTTACGCAGAAATCTCTCATTCCCGGAAGTGCTCTGCAACAATTGTTTTGACTAACGGGGATATCACTAATTTAAATTATCTGAGGTCTTTATAATACTGTATATCCACATACCAAATTTGGTCAAAATCCATTGCTATTTGTTCAAATTACCATGTTCTCAACTCCCTGCACCAAAAACATGTAGGGAACAACTAGCAACAATATCTGATATCAGATATTGTAGATGTATATGAACATGGATAATAATGCAAACATTATACAGTACAAATTTTTAAATAAGTTGTCAAGTCATTCATAACAAACCAAAGATTTTTTAAATTTTCATGAGTGAACAGTAAATAGTACAAAACAATACTGTACATGTATATGAATTAGAAATTTATATGCCTTAGACAGCCACAATACTTCATAGATACAGTATTGTGAACATTATCAAAAATTATCCTTATAAAAGTTATTTTTCCTGGAGAACAAATATATTGTGCAAATGATGGTCAGAAGCGATTAACATTCGAATACTGTTTGATGAATTATTCATCTTTTTTAAACCATGTCAGAGAATGTTAAAACAGCAACAGAGGATTAATTGTAAAAAGACCCCAAACAAAATTATTGATCAAGAGAGAGAACAGAACAAGATCTCCTGAGGGAATCGACCCACTATGTCAGATCCACTTCAATTATGGCTATTTTGTGACTTAATTTATTGAAATGTGTTGCTGTAAATACTGCTCTGGGTGTACAGTACAGTATATTACTACTTATCCAATTAGAAAACACACATTACATGTAATTATTGCTGTGGTAATGACAGAAAATTATAGATAAGAAACCATTTAGTTTTTGCTTCAAGGTTCTTAAAGTGCAGTACTGGACAGTATTATCTAATCTGCTGAAAACTGGAAGATAAAATTTTGCTAGCAATCATCAAGTCAGTAGCAATGTGCAATACATGGTTCTAAAATATCTGAAATTAAAGTATACAAGAGAAATAAGTGCTCAAGATATGGTTTGCTTTGTCCCAGTTTAATTCATACACGTATATTTGTTGAATAAATTGGTTCTGTCAACAATAAACATAACAACTATACAAAAAATTAGGGAGTGATGCATGTCCCATTATTATAGACACGTGTACCGCTTGAACACTTCAGGCTAACATCAGGAAAATAGGCCTACCTGAAGACAGTGAACCTGTGTTGCTGCTTGATAAATGCAGTGCTCAGTAAGGAACCAGTGAGTTGTCTCATGGAAATATATTTGCCGCATTTTTACCCCCCAAATACAACGACCTTCATTCAGCCAATGGACCAGGGGGTGATTCAGAATCTGAAATGCCATTGCTAAAAGGATTTCATGCACAAATTATGTGCCCATAAGGGGATGCTTTAAGATTTCAACAAATCATTTAATCTTAAGACAGCTGTTTGGTATGTTGTAGGAGGATGGGACGAAGTTAAAGCTTCAACTCTCAAGAAGTGGAGAAAACTGTGGCCTGAGGTGGTTTTGATTGATTCAGACGATGGGGACTATGAAGATTTTCTATTCAAGAAGGTAATTCACAAGAAACAAGTGACTAAGGAATTGTTGGATTATGTTAAAAGTATTAAAGCTCCTTAAGTGAAAAAAGCTTTAGGGTCACATACCTGTAATATTCACCAAAATATAGAATAATGGTTAGACTGTAATGTGGTAACAATATCAAAATCTAACTGATGCTGAATTATTTGATATAGTTTTGCATCCTGAGATGCAAACAAAAGAAAGTGAAGAAGACGATGAAGAGAAAGTGACCTGGAAGCTGGCCATATAGGAGAGACTCCCAGAAACAACTGACCTTACAACAGCCATTCAAGAGAGCTGCTTCGAAGAACCTTGTCCCAACCTCATCAACACCAAGATCTTCTCGTGGGTTATCACCATGTTTTGATTTTACAGAGACATTTTGATACTATCTTCAGTTAACTCAGTGGGATCTGCATCACTCGATGTTTTAGATAAATCAGCTGCTAACAGCCTTGAACCTGTACCAGATTTTTTAGTGATGACACTGAACAGTCAGTACCTCAAGAAAGTGAAACTTCTGAGCTTCCTACATGTGTGCCTCCTGAAGGGAAAACTCGTGTGTTTACAACAGCAGATTAGTCTGTGCTCCCTGCATCATCAATGCCTACTGCAACATCTCATGTTGATACATCTACAATTACCAATTAAGCCACTGCCCATGACATCTGTACCCTGTATTTCAAGATATTGACCGAACTTATGTACAGTCGGGGTCAAAAGTCTTGAACACTTAGCAATATCTGGCATCTACTTCTGAGTTACACATATATGATTGGGATATACTAATAACACTACTTGTCATCACATTATGCCTGAACCACAAAATGGGATAAAACTCTCCTTAATACCTGAGATCTTCTGGTACTTACATGCCAAATACTGTCAAGTGTTCAAGACTTTTGAACCCGACTGTACATATATGAGTAAGTACCGTCGCAGTCAAAGGTAATAATTTACCCCTCCTACTACCATACCCGAGTGCTCAAGGCCTTTCTACAAGACAGGTCACAAGAGGGTGGGGG